TTTGGTTGAAGTGAGGGTGGAGATTATACCTGTATTAGTAAGTTTAGTCGTCTGGTCTATAAGTGAATTGTTCGACATATCCACAGCTAGCTTGTAATGTGCTAGGAAAACTGCGCCGAGTATGGGAAATTTGACTTCCGCCACAGTAAAAAACCATTGGAACGTTCTCTTTAATCCAATGTTTAGGGTCATAGACACTTGACCAAAGGTTTGTATTTGGGAACCATTTGCTGCGCGTAAAGTGTATGAAGATCTTTCGGTAGGAAAACCTGGTCTGGGTGGAATTACGCTGACTTGGGCGCCTGTGTCGACCAGAAATAATTTGTTAGAATTCCTGTCTCTGACCTAAAAAAGACGGTTGGCTTCTTCTCCCCCAAACAGCGGACGCCGTCTTCATGCGCTGTTGGGACTGGCGGTTCCTGCCTTCTGGTTAGGTGTAGATACTAACTGTGGTTTAAAATTGTACGGCTTGGTACAATGCCTGGCTGTCTGACAGAATTTACGGTAATACCAACAGATCGTAGTATTTCTCCCGCGAGAAGTTGTGAGCTGAAGTCGATCGCTCTCTATTCAAACGATCTAACTGCATAGATAACTTGTTGAGTTGTTGCTGGAGTTTGTTAAATACATCTTCGACTTGTTTGTTAAGCTGCTGGTAGGCTCCAGGCGACAACGGGGGAAAATTGATTTAGCACAAAAATGTTTGATTGGCTAAAATTCGACCAATCACTGATTTTGTAACAAAGAACATGTGAGCAAGTTCATGGCAGAAAAAATCAAAGTGGTGACTGCGATTGCTAAATTGTCTTATGGAAAGGCAGTATCGATTTACTAGCCAATCGCAGACGAATAAATTGTGGGAGTGGAAAGCGTAGCTGTCGCTACAATTCTAGTTCCATGTAGTAAAATGTAGACTGGTAAAATCTTGGATATTAGAAATTGGGTACCTATCAGGAACAGTAATCACGTTCAGTTTTCGGTAATCACCACAAGGTCTCCATGAGGATAACTTCTATTTGGTACCATGTGAAAGGCGAATTACTCCGAGGTTTGCTAAATGCTGGAATTCCAGTTTGGTAAGGTCATGAGAAGACAAGTGAACCAATTGTTTCAGTGCAGTGTGTGATGTAATGTTTTTTCACAGAGAGTGTTGAATTTTGGTTAGGTTATGTCTTGGTAATTGTACAATATTTCCGAAAATTCGGTATTTCCTTCTGTTAATGCAGCTATGGGACGAAGAAGTTTTGCAGACTTTAGGCAGCCAATAGATTTGGTGTCAGTGTTTGTGCCAATCACTTGTCGTCTTTTAAGGTTGATTAACTAACCATAATGATGCAAAAAGTCAGCACCCAAAATGGTGTAGTGATGAAAGAACCATTAGAAATCATGGCGTAGCGACAAATTAAATATCGTGCATTTATGTCCATATGTGTGGATAATCAATCCATTTATCGCTCATAATGTTAGTTTTCCAGGATCTTTTAATTTGTCTAACTGGGAAGCTGCAATTAGTGATATCTTAGTGATATCTGTGCTCCATTATCGAACAGGAATATTGTTTTTGAATTTCTGTCGATTATGTGGAAGAGTCGACATGAATTTGAAATGCCATCGTGTTCCATTGACAAAGATTGTTGGCTTATTCGTTTCCCTGGGACTTGTAATTGCAAAGAGTTGTGCATTTTATACCTATATGTACCTGTTATACTCCTGTCACCGGAGTCCGTGCACTTGCAACTAGGTTGTCTTGGGTCATGACTTCCATCAATTTATCAGCCGTATCGCACAGCTTATTCATGGTACATTGTCTCTCATTGCCGTTAAGTATATCAGTACCATATGCGGCAGCTTTCCTTCAAATATGTGTTGTAAAACACTGTCATTCAACATATTGCCGGACAGAGTCTGAAAACGATGCAGAAATTGAGATGGTTTTCTATCTCCCAATATTTCCGTTTCCAATAATTGTTGCAATCTCCTTCTCTCAGATAATGAAGTTCGGTGTATTAACTCGTCTTTTGATTTGTCGTAGGGGTTGGTTTGTGGAGGATTTAACAGGAGATCCCATAGATACGTGGCTATTTTTTGAGGCAATGCAGAAACTATGCAAGCAAAATTTTGCTTTTGTGATGATATGGTTTTAATCAGAAAAACGGCTTCCAAGCGGATAAAAAACTGCACCAAATCATTTTTAGAGATTTTCAAAGGAAGTAGTTCCTCTATTTTTTGTTGTGTGTAAGTCTTTTTTTAGACAATTTTACGAGTTTTGTAAAAATAAATGAGCATGCGTATGCAGTATCAAAAGGTTGTAGCACGTAAAAATATTTTTTTATTTACTACTTAATGGTATAGAATATTATTTTGTAAATATATTTTGAGATAAATTCTCAGTGGAAGGTAATACATAACACGTTAAGGAGATTTAGAATAGGGTGGAGACGTTGCTCATTTCGTAAAAATAAATGAAACGTGGTCGGTCAGAAGCAACGTCATCCCCGTTATTTCACGTCTTTCTAAGAAGTTTTGTGAAAGAGAAAAATATATATTTATTTTAACATTTAAAATTTTATGGGTCACCGTTAAAGTTTATAAGATATTTTATCATAAAATATTGTTAATTCACAGTCCAGTTTCGTAAAAGATTTTTTTCCGAAAATTACTAAGAGAAAATCCTGTATGAAAAGATTTCAAAAATGAAATATAAAAATGAAAATATATCTGTAGTTAATGTAAGTAACACTTACGGAACTCAACACAATTTTATTTTTAAAAATATTCGTTTAAATTAAAACTAGTGAAACCATACCCCTGTGAAATTTTAATACACTATTTATTTTTAAAGAAAAAATAACGCGTTCTTTTTTAGCATAAAAGTTTTTTTTGTCGTGGTCATCGGTTTAATGATTAGCTACTTCAATAATTAAATGAGTAAGGTTTTTTTAGGGAACATTTCGTAGTATATTAAATAATTATGGTGAAAAAGAGTACATGCACAAAATAACAAAGAAAATTGATTTGCAATGCAAGATAAAATTTATTAAACAAATCAACAAAAGGAAAGTTTAAAAACAAGAGTTTCTTCTGATGGACGTAAATTGTATACACAGCAAAATGTTCATGAATATGTTATAGCGGAAACTTACTTTGTTGGTGTGTTTTATGGGTGCAGCGTTCACAGCCCTTTTAGCTATAGCGTGTAAAGTTCAAGACAGCAGTTCGAAACAGGAAAACCAGGAGAGAGAGAGAGAGAGAGAGAGAGAGAGAGAGAGAGAGAGAGAGAGAGTTACTTTTGAGTTTACGTGTTTTTACATTCGAGAGCTGCTGCTGATGAGTTTTATTTAGAGCTGCTACAATGTTTAAGGTCACTACAAAGCGATGACTACAAGTGTAATAGAACCTATGAAAGTAAATTTATACATTTTTTGTTCTTGATGTTTTCATTACACCACACATGCCGGCCAGGGAGCAGCCCGGCCTTCGGGCTGGGTTGCGACCATGGCAAAGTCTAGTTTGGACCATATCAGGACCTGCTAAGACAAGCCAAGACCAGAACTTGACTAAGCTTTGACCAGCTTGGACATGTTATGACCAAATCATTGACTAAGCCTTGACCAGCTTGGACATGTTATGACCAATCTTTGATCAGTGACCTTATGTGGAAACGCTTGGGTTTTCCCACGAAAAACGACCTTGTGTCACGTCTTGACCCCGTGGGAGTCAAGTAATCCCACGAAAAACGACCTTGTGTCACATCTTGACCTCGTGGGAGTCAAGTAAATACCGCCTAGCTAAAGGCAATATCAATTTACCATCCCTTCAGAAAAAGCCAGTTCGCCGATCTGTGTGGTGTAATGAAAACACTGAATAAATAGTTAAAAATAAAACAAATATGAACAAGTTCTTCATATTCTCAAACAGGAAGATGCGTGGTCACTCACACAAGTTAACGAAACAACACGCGAAAACGATGGGTAGTAGATCTATCTTAACTGTCCTGAGGCTGATAGACAATTGGGATTCTTTATTACTGCCGTTGTGAACTTACTAACGCAGGACAGGAGTAATTGAAGGAACTGTTCAAATGATCTAAGTGACAATTGACTATTATTAATTCTTAAATGGTATAACCAAGGGAAATAATAAAGTCAATTAGAAACGGTTGAAAAAGAGAAGTATTGCTGTAAGAGAGAAAACTAAAAATGAAGAATTAAGCAAAGAAGAAAAAAAAAAAAGAAGAAAAAAAAAGAAAGAAAAAAGAAAAAAAGGAAGAAAAAGAGACGTGGAAAAGGAAGATTAATTTGGAAAGAGTAGATGCTATCAGTGTTCGAGCTCTGGTAAAAAAAAAAGCTAGAATTTCGATTGCTTTTTTTTTCTTTCCTCATTTCTCTCTTTGGCATTCTTCATTTTTGCACGATGCAGTATTTAAAAATGTTTTTAATGAGTTGAAGTTCATAAAACCCTAGTGTATTAAGAATTGAAGTTAAAATAAATTATCCAACTCTACGAGAGACAATAGATAGAACAAAAAAAAAAAGTCAGAATACATTGTCTCCTCCTCTTGTATAGCCGGATGGAAAACTAAGGGAAGTAACTCTAATTGACTTATTGAGAAACCTACTAACTATACTTTTACTGCTAATCTTATTTATTATGATGTATGTTTTGAATGTTAGGAAACTTTGATGCGTAAAGAAAACAAATCCAAGCATTGACATTCTTGAAAAGGACATTTTCTGGATAAATTTGTATCTGAGACGTCGTTATTTACATTTAAATTAATTTTAAATGCTCTCATTTACGGAGAGAAAATAAAAGAAAAGGAAAGAATTAATCGTAAAACTGCTGGCGTCTATTCAAGAAGTTGGTAAGGAATGTGAAATAAAATAATTGAAGTCAAATTAAGAAGCCCGTGAATGCTTTTGTTTTTAAGAGGTGGCAATGAGTGCAGTTTAGTCATATGTAAAGTCGTAAAAGTAAACATTCTGGCTTTTCGACTCTAGGAGCAGCAGTAATAGTCACAAGCACGCGTCATATCCTCCAGTCCAGTGGCTTCAAACAACATTTTTTCTTTACATTATTATTCCATATTCCTTATACTGTCTGCAAAAGTGACAAAACTTTCTCTAACTACTATGTGATTCTAAGAGAATCGCCTTTTTTATCTGACGAAGTCAACCTGCCAATACAAGTAAGTGGCATATTTAATTTAATTAATTAAAAAAAAGATACGATGTCATTTCAAATTTTAATTAAAAAATATAACTTAACAAGCAATAATTTTTTTTTAATAATTAACAGTTATTACGAAATTAAATTTATGAAGTTATGTGTAATAAATTTTACAATGGATTTACCATCCTTTCGGAAAATATAGGTAGTTTGGAAGTTTTTTTTTATAGATCCAAAACTAAAAGCGAAAACTTATTGTAAGTTTTGTTTTTAGTAGTTAGCAAATTAAGACAGTTTTTCTTTACTATTTCATTTGTTCGACTTGGTAAAGTTTTTGATATTTACATAAAAAAGAAAAGAACATTCACCGAAATGAAGACAACATTAAAGTTTTTTTTTTAAATACAAGAATAGCGTGATCTTAGTGAATTTCGAAAGATTTTTCAAACATAACTTAAAAAATAACAATTAACATTAACATTAACTTTATTAAAAATGTAACTTATACCTCTCCGAATCAACGTATTTGGAAGGATTTTTTTATCTTATGTTCGTTGTCAAAATTCTGGTATGGTGTCAATTCAGTTGTTTTTTGCCTCATTTATTAACGCAAAAAACAAAGAAAAATTTTTTAAAATTTATTTTTGCTACTTTAATTTATTTTTACAAGAACTACTAAAAAACTAAAAGTGTGTGTTTTTCTGTTTTTTCTTTTAATTCTAGTTCTCAATAATAGCCAATTTTCTCGATTGACAACGAAAAAAAAGTAACCTTCGAAAACAAATGTCTTTCTTTTGTTTGCTTGTCTTTTTTTCTTTGTATATTTTTTTTACCTTGAAGTGATCGGATTAACCTTAAATTTCAAATGATTTTGGCATCTCCGACATATTATCGGCTCAACGTTTTCGCTTTGTTTTTGGAAGAAACTGATTTTATATATATATATATATATAAAAAAAAAATTGTAATCGTCTCTTCCGCATTTCAAAATAACGAAATCGGTCCATTATTAAACCTAAGCGTCTTTAAATATGAAACAGGAGAAAATCTCACAAATTTTGATTCTTCGATGACTATTCTTTTTTGTTGCTGAAATGACAGCCCCCCCCCCCAATAAATTGGTTTTAAAAAGTTCAAATGGTAATTAGAACAGAATTAACTGCAAAATGCACAAATGCAAAGAAAATTTGAAATATCAAATGCAGGGATTTTAATAATTTTTTACCACCTACGCACTCAATATTTTTTTTATTTCTCTTTTCTTCACAACAACACTAAATAAAAAAAATAGTTTTCAATACATGGTAGGCTTATCATACGTCCAGATGATGGTTAAATTATTATTTTTTTTAGTATTGTATTTTTTTTTTTAGGCGTGTGACATAAGTGATGTTGGGTCACGAAAAGACTATTGTTGCGGAATGTAAACAAATTGAAATATATCAGAAGGCAAAATTAAGTAAGAAGATGAAGGTTATGTGTGCTTATAGCGTCCGTATCCCACAAAATATTGGTTATACAAACAATTTAAGAACAAATTGCATGGCAAGAAACTACTAAATATACTGTTAATGATTTATCATTTAACATTAAAGAAATTTTTATCTCTAAAAGGCAGGATGTGTCTGTGTGTGTAACGAATGCACGGACGCAATTTTCGACGGATTTGCATCAAAATTTACATGCACATTAGCGGGAAGGCCAAGACTGACTTTGCATTTCCTAATTCCCATCGATAGTGGAAATAATCGATTTTTTCATGCTTCTACGGCAGTTTTCATGTAGTTTGCAGCCATTTTCTACTGGCCAGAGTGAGAGCCTATAGCTGGCTGCCACGAATAGGCAGGAAGATTCTATTGGCCAGCGTAAGAGCCAACAGCTGACTGATACGAATGTTAACTAGCATGCTAGCATGCAAAAAAAAAACAAACAAAAAAAAAACGATAGCTGCATTCGTCCCAAGTGGGAAAAATTTAAATCTGCATGGCACTTTACTCCAATTGGCTCATTCGCTTGCTTAAACTCAACGTTGATTCTGATTCCGTAGAACTGGGTTGGGTGTGAAGAAGTATTTGTTAACATTCTTTTTTCATTCGGTTTTTCCAGTTACGAGTCCTTTTTTAAAGCTGATCGTTTTGTGTTCATTTTGTTTAGTTCTTTTTCGTAACAGATTTAATGTTTAGTATAAAGTTTTGTAAAAAATTCGCAGTGTGAGATAGGCAAGAAGTAAGGCATGTAGCAACATCAGCACGGCAAAGGGCACTCGTTTAAAGGCAAGTAAGGGCAAAAATATTTTAAGTCAAGTGATTGCGATTGCTGTATGAGTCGTATGATTTTTTAATCAAGCACAGGCAACGCCGGGCCATGCTGCTAGTCAACAATAAAATATACATGTAACGACAATTACAATGTTTGCTGTTGTGATAATTAAGACAACGTCATAAGGAATGTTTGTGCAGGAATGTTGTTAAGAAATGTTGGTATTTTTTGATTAAGAAATTTAAAATGATTTGGTTTCTGCAAGGAAAAAGAAATTATATGTGTTCGTTCATTTATCAGTGTGTGTGCGTGTGTAATTTACAAGTAAGAATAAATGCTATCAAGAGTTGCTTGTCTTTGTCTGTGAAGGCTAAGTTGGTGAAATATACAATTACTTTTTAGTAGTGAAATTGTTTCACTTTTCAAGTCAACTGTAGATGTTGGTTAACACGCGGACAATGGTTGATGAATGTTTGTTGAGTTTGTTGAGATTTGAATGTGATGTGTGAGTCAGTGAATTGTCATGCGTGGTAGCATCTCCGGTGGCTGACAATATTTATTCCTGTAAAAATACAGCAGATGTGGCACAAGGCCGAAAAAAGGGGGTGGGTGGTGGAACAGGACGGTCATCATTTGTCTTAATTTTAAAACTTAGCAAGCCACAACCACTGACCCAGCCATATAAAACAATATTCCTACCACAAAAAAAAAACACATTCATACTTACCTTTCTTACTACATTCACCAAAATACCTCATTGTCTCAATGAAAATCCTAAATAGTCCCCATATGTACAAATCATTACCTGTGAGGGGAGGGGAATAAAAAGCAACGTTAAAACACCCCAATGATTATATACAATATGGTTATAAACTATTTACAAGAAACTAAACAAAACCATGTTAGTAATAAAACCCCCACAAACGTTAAATATGGCAGAAATATCAGTTAACTGGACGAAATCGATGCGGGACTATAAAAATATAGAAAACATTCATCCATCCCAAGCACTCACACAGACACGCACTCATTCTGACACAACAACACATACGAAAAAAACACACACGCGAAACGAAAGGCGCCCCGCATCTATCAGAGAACTGATATCACTGACCACCTAACGAGGGAGGGGATGGGGAGTTAAACTAAAGGAAAAAAGTGTGGGGGAGGAGGACAGAAACAACATACCCTAGCTAAGTTTACAGAAAAAGAAAAAACTAAAGAATCAAATACAAAAAAACCTACTCTAGCCTAAATCTAGGGATGGGTTCAACCCAGGAAAACAATATTCTTATGCCTAACCGACATCAAAATGCCACTCCAGATCAGCCCTTTTTACTCGGCACAAACGCGCAAGATTCACCCACCTTTTGCCAAATTCTGATGAAATGAGCCGCCGCCTTTCCATGCTAATCTTGATTTTAAGCTGATGCTTAAAGTACAAAATCAGTTGGGAAGAAGTCAACCTCTCGCCATCATAGAATTCCTTCTGACGCGTCGTCCAAATCACGACTCTCATAACACCTAGTAAGCAACAGAACACATAATGTTCAGCCTTCGTCTTCTGTGGCACTACATTGCTACAAACAGAACTGGCCTCAAGGACAAAGAACTTCCCTTGCAGCATGCTGACCATGAGGCCTTCAACAAACTTGCACAATGGCACTACCACCCTGCAATGAAAGAAGGCGTGACCAATGGTCTCGACTTCCTCAATACAGCGACGGCAGTTTGGAGATTTCTCCAAGCCCGCTGCACAAAGTCTTTTGGCGACCCAGAGGGCCCCCCGAATCACCAGCCAGGTGAGTGATACCTCATCGTTATTGAGGTTTTTCAACCCAGGCGACCCTCCTGCTTCGTAAGACCGAGCTCGTCAATTAGATCATCACGAACTCTCCCCCCCGACTAATAGTTGATACAATGCCCTACGAGACAACGAGAGGCGTTTCAGAGCGCGACGACATTCGCGGTAGAAGGAGCATTCGGTTCGGGGTATGCGGTCGGCCTCCTCCTCGCACGAGTACACACTTCTCAAGGATGGGAAGTTTCTACGCTCTCCTCATCAGATTCACGACACATTCGGTCTAGGAAGGCGATGCGAAGCATATATTGACGTATCTCAATGCTAGGCATACCCGGATCGCTTTCAGATGGATGAAGGCAACAGACCCCCCGAGATACCATAGCGGCCTTGTCTCCACAAGAAAGAGAACAAGAGCCTTACTAATGACATTAGTGTGGTATACGGAAGTAGAAGTACAGAGAGTCGGTAAAAGAGAATCGGGTAGATGTGTGAAACATATACTTTCGCCCTCCCCTTCAAGGAAAGCTTCCCCCGAGACCATAGATTAACCGCATTCGCCTTTAACTTGCGAAGGAATGGTTCCAACGCAAGAACGTAAAGCAAAGGCGAAAGCGGACAATCTTGATGAATGGAACGAGACAATACGAAAGGCTACGATCTTACCCCATTCACTTCCACCAGCGCACCGGGGGTCGCATACAAAAGTCGGATCCAGGAGCGAAAGTCGTCTCCGAAACCGGCCGCCGAAAGGACAGCCTCCAGAAATCGATGGTCAACCCTATCGAAGGCCTTGGACTGATCTAAATTGATCAGCGCGGCTTCACGTCGACTTGTTCTAAGATCAAGCGTACCATATGAAGGTTATCCTGAATAGTCCTGCCCTTCACAGCACAAGTCTGTTCGGAGCCAATCAGACTAGACAGGACAAGCTGCAAACGGTTGGCTAAGATATTCAC